CAAATCCTACGAGGAAGCAGTCTGATTGTTTGAGAACTGGATTCATTCTCCTTGTAGCCTTAGCGTGAACCTGTCTGTGTGGTGAATGAGAAGTGTGTGGGGCCGGGGCCACAGCTCAATAGGCTAATCCTCCGCCTGCGGCGCCGGCACACCGGGTTCTAGTCCCGTTCGGGGCGCCAGATTCTGTCCCAGTTGCTCCTCTTCCTGTCCAGCTCTCTGCTGTGGCCCGGGAAGGCAGTGGAGGATGGCCCGAGTTTTTGGGCCCTGCACCTGCAGGGGAGACCAAGAGAAGCACCTGGCTCTTGGCTTCAATCCGCACGGCGCGCCAGCTGCAGTGGCCACTGGGGGATGTACCAACGGAAAAAGGAAGACCTTTCTCTGTCTCTCTCTCTCTCACTGTCCACTCTGCCTGTCAAAAAAAAAAAAAAAAAAAAAGAAGAAGAAGAAGAAGTGTGTGTGTCTTATGTGTTGGTCATCCTGCTAATGGCCCTCTCCACACACTCACATGTACATACATGCATGAACACACATGTGCACACACACACACCACTGTCATCTCCTCCCAGTGTAACAGAGCCCTAGGGTCCATGGACAGCAGAAGCCCCTCCCACAGATGCTCTGTTGGAGGTCCCAGCCTCTCAAGGTAGCCCTTTCCCCTTTCCTGTGATTGGCTTAGGGTAGAAATGTCACTGGTTCTGGCCAATGAAAGGTGGGAGTCCACCAGCCAGGGGATTATGGGAAAAATTCTACTCCCTGAAAAAAGCAACGATCAACGGGAAGCACCCGCCACCACTCCTTTTGGCCTTTGCTGGGTGAAATGAGCCACTTGAGGCTGCTGTGGCCATAGTGGGCGGTGCGGGGCCACACTGTTCACAGGAGCCACATGACAGAAGAAGCCTGGGTCCTTGGTGGCCTTGACAAGCTGCTGAACCAAACTCCTCCTTGTCTTCCAACACCTGAGACTGCTGAAGCCCCTTTGGTATAGTACTGCTTCTTGCAGCCAAATGCAGCCTGATAGGGCCACGAGCTCTGGGCCCCACGTGGTCTACAGCACCCATGGTCTCCAGGGCATGTCCATGGCTGAAGCAGCCCCTGGCTGAGTCCCTGGCTTCTTCTCATTGCTTGCTGTGGATGGTTACAGGACCACGTCCTGGGGGCACTGGCCTCTCCCTGCCTCTGAGTCCTGCCCTTCCCGGGGTGGGAACAGCTGTCCAGGGGGCCGGTTAGGAGAGACATTCGGCTCCTCAAGTGGGGACAGGAAGGCAGGGCTCCTGCGGCTGCTGCTATGGTGGCTTCAACCACCAGTGAGGCAGTGGTGCAGGCCGGCGGCCATCTTCCCATTTCCGGGAAACACCCAGTTGATAAGGGCTGGCTTCCCTTTAGAAATGATTCCCATTTAAGTTTCTATGAATAGGATCGAAAGGAAACCAAAAGTGAAATTCCTGTCCTTGGAATAGAAGCTGCCCTGTGAGCCGTGGGGTCCCAGGCGCCGCCTTGGCCCGGGAGGTGCCCGGGAGTCTCCCACTGCTGCTTGGCCGACGGTGCCATTTAAAAGCCTGGTTGTTTTTTATCTTGCTGGACTCTGAGGTCTGCAGGGCAGAGCGGGCCTCCTCTCTGAGGGTGGCACAGCGGGGTCCACAGCCCTGCACGTGGGAGGGAGCTGGGGAGGGGTCTCCAGGAGCTGCACCTGCTGGAGCCAGGGGCCCTGCTCTCCAGACGCAGCTGGGGAGGGAGCCCCAGGTCTCTGGAAAGTGAGGGGTCCCCCACATTGTCTGCCTCTGCTGCTGACTGGGGTTCCGTTGCTCCTCAACCCCAAACAGGCCGTTCTCTCTCCTCCTTCCCCATGGCATTTGTCCTAACTTAAGAAATGCCATGGGGGCCAGGGTCAGGCCATGGAGGGTGGGGCTGCCGCCTGGGAGGCCAGCATCCCATATGGGTGCTGGTTCAGGTCCCGGCTGCTCCACTTCCCATCCAGCTCCCTGATAACAGCCTGGGAACGGCAGTGAATATGGCCAAGTGCTTAGGCCCCTGCACCCGCGTGGGAGACAAGGACGAAACTCCTGGCTCCATCCTAGTGCAGCCCTGGTCTTCTGGGGAATGAGACAGTAGACAGAAGTTTCTCTCTCTCTCTCTCTCTCTCTAACTGCCTTTCAAATAAATTTTTTTAAAGATTTATAATATTTATTTGAAAGACAGAGTTACAGAGAGAAATAGAGACAGAGAGAGATCTTCCAACCACTGGTTCACTCCCTAGATGGCCGCAACGGCCAGAGCTGTGCTGATCAGGAGTCAGGAGGCAGGAGCTTCTTCTGGGTCTCCCACATGGGTGCAGGGGCCCAAGGACTTGGGCCATCCTCTACTGCTACCCCAGGCCATAGCAGAGAGCTGGATTGGAAGAGGAGCAGCCAGGACTTGAATCCGTGCCCTTATGGGATGCTGGTGCTTCAGGCCAGGGCATTAACCCCCTGTGTCACAGCGCCGACCCCTCAAATAAAATCTTTAGAAAAATGACATGTGTGCGCCTCCCCTGCCATCAGCCACGTGTGCAGATCTGCAGAAGCTCCGGGCAGTGCAGCAGCTGAAAGGGAAGAGCTGGGCTCAGGCGTGGCCTGGAAAAGAGCTGATCCTGGGAGGGCAGCCACAGGTTCCTGGGGAGCGGCCCCGTGGGCGTCCGTCACCTGGTGTTGGGAGGAGACGTACTGCTGCCCAAGCAAACCAGGGCTCTGCTAACCAGAGCCGTTTCCTTCCCCAGGTGGGCCACTGGCAGCCGTGACAGTGTCCTGACCCTGCTTTAGAATTCCCTCGTGGTCCCCTAATAAAGCCCGATGGGTGCAGGCACGGCAGGTGGCCACTTCACTGCTTTGCCACAGCGTGGGCCCCCTGGAGCCGCTTCTGACCCACGGGTCTGGGTTTTGTGCCTGGATATCGGCACGAGGGAGAGGCCCACGTGCACAGAGCTTGTCTGGCTGGACAGGCCGGGATGAGGGCCGGAGGAGGGTGCTGTCCACGGAGCACAGGCACAAAGACGGAGAACACTGGAAAAACCCTCAAAGCAGAAGCTGCAGTGCCCTGGGAGGGACAGAGGCAGAAGAGGAAGGATGAGTGAGGGGGTCCTGGGAGGAGGCAGGCAGAGCCCCGCTGTGTCTGCCCAGCTGAGCTATGCTAGACCGGTCCCTCTGCCTCTCAGATCCTCCATTTCCCCACCTGTGCAATGGGACCATTGCGCCTTCCCCTGGACTGTTGGGAGGGTTGTGGTTATCCTGGGACAAGTGCCCGGCAGAGCCCTGCTCTGTGATGCAGCAGCCCCGCTCCATGCTGGGAGCCATTGGCCCCTCTAGACCCACTGCAAGGTCAGGTCCCAGCAGGATGCTGCCAGGTCCTGTCTCCCAGCCCGTCCTCTCCAAGGGATGGCTGTCCAGATACCAGGTGGGGGCAGGGTCATGGAAGAAGTGCCCGGCGAGGCCATGGACAGGCACGGGGCAGGAGGGTGATGAGGAGCCAAGGGGTCTGCAAAGGGCAGAGGGGTCAAGACTCCCCCTCCCCCATCCAGTGTAGCTCCCAACCTCAGCCAAGCCACTCGTGCACACAGCCTTGGTGTCCCCACCCTCAGGAACACGTGCACCTGCATCCTCCACGTGTACACAGAACACACTCACGGTCTCCCAGACCAGCCTCCTCCTGTCCACCCCACAAGGCATGCACATTAGATGGGAGCTGAAATTGGGAGCAGAGCTTGGACTTGAACCCAAGCACTCTATCAGATGTGGGCATCTCAACTGCTGGGCCAAATGCCCACCCCAGGACCCACCTCTGAGACCTACCCTGCTGTGGGTCAGGGGGACAGTCTGGGTGTGGAGCAAGGACCCGGACAGTTCTCTGAAGGCCCCATGTGGGTACAAGGACCCAAATACTTGGGCCATCTTCCACTGCTTTTCCCAGGCCGTTAGCAGGGAGCTGGATTGGCCATAGAGCAGCCAGGACACAAACCGGCCCCTATATGGGATGGCAGCAGCACAGGTAGCAGCTTTACCTGTTACGCTGCAATGGCAGTCCCCTGACCCGCAACCAAAACACAGCTTCTAAGTAGCAGAAGCAGGATTCAAAGCTCAGGTGTCCCTTTCTGTAGTCTGACTATTACTGCCACGTGACAGAGCCTCGGGGCCCCTGGGCTCAGCGATTGGACGGATGAGGACCCCTCGGGATGATGGGGGAGGAGCTGGTTTGGAACCAGAAAACCGAGAAGTCGGCGCAGCAATGTGATGCTGGCGGTGTCCCCGAGGACAGCCCGGGGAGACTGGAGAAGACGAGGTGCCCAGGACCAGGGCGGGGCTTGAGCGTGTCCTCGAGGGGGCTGGGGTCTGGGACAGCCAGGGCACAGGAGGAGCAGGGGAGCTCTCAAGGCTGCCAGCCATGTGTTTTTTTCATTTTCATTGCTTTTCCATTTGTTTGAAAGGCAAAAGAGAACAGAGACACAGACCAAGAAAGGGCTCTGACCCACTGGTTCACTCCTCAAATGGCTGCAATGGCCAAGACTTGGCGAGGCCACAGCCAGGAGCCCAGAACTCTATCTACCTAGGTCCCCTGTGTGGATGTCAGGGACCCACGTACTAGAGCCGTCCCCTGCTGCCTCCCAGGGAGCACCGTAGCAGGAAGCAAAGCTGGGATTCAAACCCAGGCACCTTCATGTGGGATGTGGCGTCCCGAATGGCATCTTCACCACTCTGCTGAACACCCACCCATCACACTGGGTTTGCTTTTTAATGAAAGGCAAACATTCATTACTGGAGAAGAGAAAAAGCTAGATTCTTTCTCTTCATGCACTACTTTTGTAATAATGTCGCAGAATCAACTTTAAAGATTTTACGAGGGTAAACTCTTCCTAACATGGGCTCATTCATTGTGTGGTGGACCTTGTATTCAAAGAAACCATTTTCTGTAAATTTGTTCTCATAATTTGCAAGAAACTGAGAGCAACTACATATTAACAAAGATGACAATGTTATATTTGACTACAAAATATTATAAAATGATACAATTGTGTGGCTTTTGAGTATTTAATTTGATTTGAGCAGGACAACGGAAAAAAAAAATACATAGAAAAATCATCCAGACAGGCCTGAATTTTTGTGTTCTATCGTCATCTCCAGTTAGCTGAAACTCATTAAGTGACCACTGGGGAAGCCTGGCTACCCATCAACACGAATGAAGGAACAATGTTTCTTTCCAAGACATTATACGCCCCAGTGGCAGAACCTGGGCTAATCTAGAATTTGTTTTCATGCTCAAATGCTTCAAATTGTGTGCACGTTGAATGATGAGATAAGAATGTCCACATCAAGCAGGCTCTGCCGCTGGGCGAAGCTGGCAGGACCGCCCCACGGAAAGACTCGAAGTCCACGGGTCAAGCCAATTTTGCACCGTCGACAGTCACATCTTCCTGTTCTGTATCATTCAGATTCTCATCAACGTCTCCTCTCACATGTGAACAACAGCAGCCAGAGTCCGCAGAGAGTCAGTGCTTTATTTGGAGCAGAAGTGTGCAGTCCAGAGAATGTGCTTGTGGGGAGCAACTCGGACTAGACTGTTACTGGAATTAAGACTTATTCTATGCATCTGCTCTCCCACAATATGGCGCTGGGAGAGAAGAAAACAGCTTCTACACAGCTGCCTCCAGTTCAGCCAATAAACAGCAGGACCTGCTCCTGATTGGAGGAGAGCAGCGTGCTCGGCGTGTGGGCAGCTGAGTTGGGATTGGCGGAGGAGGACTATAAAGGAGGAGAGAGACGGCATGCACCAGGAACATCTAAGGGGAACATCTAAGGGGAACACCTGTGCAGCCCCCGAGAGAGCCGGCCGGCGGTGTGCCGCTCCCCCTCGGAAGTGGGGAAAGTGGCAGGGGGAACCGCCCTTCCACAGAGGTGGAGGGACGGTAGCCAACCCGGGAAGAACCAGCAGCAAACCCGGGGAGGGCCGAGCAGACGAAAGAACAGCGCAGGGTCCTGTGTCGTTCCTCCACGAAGAGGGGGAGCAACATGTGCTAACTCTTTCCCTGGTACCGAGTTTTTTGCTTGGTTTTTTAATGTAGCTGGCAAACTGTCTCCCGGGCGTGGGATGTGCGGATCTCCTGATACCAACCTCAGCATCCTGTAACCCAGCTTCCCCGGCCCCCCACGTGATTTCTTAATTCCACTATTCCATGAACTTTCTGCAACCTCTCCTATGTACACAAGGAAACTAGTCAGCCATAAGAAAGAACAAAATCTTGTTATTCATGACCACATTAGATGATTAGGTTACATGAAATGAGCCAGGCATAAAGACAAAAGCTGCGTGATCTCCCTTCTCTGTTCAGTCTTTAGAAGTGGATCTCAAAGAAGCTGAGGGTAGAATGGGGGTTGCCGGAGGTTGGGAAGAGTGGGGGACGGAGGATGTGGCAAAGCTGATCAACAGGTCTAAGTAGGAGAAGTGAGTCCTGGCGTTCCATGGCCAGTGGGATGGCTGTGGGTAATAGGTGCGTGCCGTATATGTCACCAGAAAGAAACAACAAATGTTTGAGGAGGCAGACATGCATATCCTGATTGGAACATTATATAAATAGACATAGCAAAACAGGGTATGCCCTAAATATGTATACTTTTTAACAGGAATTTAAAAGATTTATCTAAAAAAAAAGAAAGAAATAGGAGCTTGGGACTTCTTGGGGTGGAAGAGGCGGTGGCAGAGTGTGGGATGTGAGAAGGAGTTAGGTGCAGATAAAACCCTCAGACAGGGGTGCGCACCATGGCAGGTGCCTGCAGACACCAACGTCTCCCTGCACGAGCTGTTGTGCTTCTTCTCTTTCCAGTCCTCCAAGCCAGTTTTCTGTGGTTGACGAGGGGAGGAACCAGTCTCTAGGCAGACAAGGAAGTTCCCGGATGCCTTTGGTTTGCAGTAATCAGCACGGCAACATTCCATTCTTGAGGGTTTCCTCTCCTGAGCGCCAGCAGGGTGGTCTTAGTCCCTGCCAAGATCTAAACGAAGCATTGATTGGGCCTGGCCCTTGAGCCCAAGGTCAGGGAAGAAGCAGGGGGCAGTCAAGACAGTGCAACGTAGCGGGACAAGCCCCAGGACAGGGGCCTGGGCTCTGCGCCCGGCTTATCAAAAGCCCCCTGCGCAACAGCAAGCTGAACACAGCTTCTCCTGCTGCTCTGTTCAGGCCGAGACCACCCCACCTGAGGGGAACGACCGCTCGGTATTCCGGCGCTCGGGGACACAGAACCGCCAGCCACGTCCTCGGGGTGCACGGTCGTCCCAGCTCCCTCAGCCACTCGCCAGAGTCACACAACTCCAACCAGAGGAGCTGGTTTCCCTCCAGATCTGCTTGATCCAAAAGTCACTTCTTCAGTGCGCCACGTGGGAGGCGGGGCTTCAAAATATAAAAGGGTGGGGGGGCTAGGACCAAGCGATGGAGTCCATGACGTGGTGCAACGGTGTCTAGCAGAATTCACATGGAGCTGCATTCCTCCTCAATAAGCAGTCAGGATCACGAAACAGAGTGAAATCAACAAAGCAAGCCCCACTCCCGTCGGCTAAGCGTGATCCCCTCACAGTGGACGCATCTCAGGGCAATGCCTCGAAGTTACTGCCTTTCCCGCTTGCTTCTGGCAAGTGCCATCCCGAAGATGCCCAGAACTGCCAAGACACCCGATGCCACAGCCACTGTTGTGACCGTGTCCGTGACCTTAGGTGGAAGAGAGAGGGGCTCACGCTCAGTGCCAGGGTGCTGACCAGGAACACTCACACCCACAGCCTGCAGTTCAGCAAAGACCTGCCTGGCCCTGGCCCTGTAAAGACACATGGGTCACACTATGGGCAGGAGAAGAAAGGGCTGAGCTGCGCTCTGATTGGGGCAGAGGCGGAAGAAGGGAGGGGAGAGGGGAGGAGCCTGGGCTCAGCAGAAGCAGGGATGTGAGAAAATTCAACGCCGTGGTCTGAGCCAGCACAGCCAAGCCAGCGGCAGCCTTGTGAGGATGACCCTGCACAGGTCCCTGAGAAAGACGCTTGCACTGTGGGAGACAGTGGTGGGGGCTGGGGTTGTCTGAGGGACACAGCCTCAGCCACTGGAAGCAATAAATAAACAGGTGACACCTGCTCCCCAGGGCGCCATACCCCCTTGAGCTCTAACCCTTGGAAGGACAGTGGAGGGTCAACCATCCCCAAAAACCAGGGTTTCCCAGACCAATCCTCGGGGAAAGGCACAGCCTCTGGAGTTGCCTTTAACGCAAGCCCACCCACAGCCCCTGCCCCACCCCCACCAAGCACACCACCCCTTGGTCCAGAAACAGGTCCAGCCTGCTCAGCTCCCAGGAGGGGAGGCCCCACCAGCAGGGCCACCGCCAGGCACCGGAGCAGTTCCCGCTCCAGGGCCCAGAACAGCCTGGCAGCCCCTCGGTAGCTCCATCCTAGGGTTCTCCTTTCCACCACCTCTCCTGCTCCTTAATAACTAGGAGATGAGTCCTATGTAAAACAGGCGGGAGTCATTTTTCATTGGTTGAGCAAGCTGAATGTGCAACCCCAGGTGTAAAGAGAGCTCATGCATGAAGTGTGCACGCAAGGTGCAATCTGCCAAAAATCCCATCTTTTGCAAATTTCTCGGATTTTTTTTAAGCAGCTGATGCCAACTAAAAACAGATGAGGAGTCTCCCAGTTTTGCAAGTGACTTTAGAGCAGGAGTTGGTAAACTTTAGCCCAGGGGGTGGGATCCAGCCTGTGCCCATCTATGAAATAAATACATAGAAACAGACCACTACCGGGACATGGCCTTGCTACGTCTGCCAATCCCTTCCTTGGCCAGCGAGAATCCCATCTCCACAATTTCGTCCACGTGCCCTATTGCCATCCCAGACCAGCCACAGCAGGTGGCCAGCCGCTGTCACTGAGGGAGTGCTCTGGCTCCTGGGGAAGGGGACCCTGGATGAGGACCCACCTGGTCGCTGCGGGAGACCCTGTAGCGCAGCTCGTTCACGAAGTGCTCACAGTTGTCGTGGATCAGTGAGTAGCGCACCTTGCGCCCCACCCACTCCTCTGCCTGCTTCACGATCTTGTTGGCAGGCAGCGGCGGGTACTTGTCATCGTGTTTGTTATTGATCCGGTACCTGTCTCCCCCAGCCACCTTGGACAGCAGTTCCTTCTTCACTATGGCTGTTTCAGCCACGGTGGACAGGATACTGGATGCCCCAGCTCCCGCGATTTCACCTGCCGAAAACAGCAGTTCAATCAGAGAAGGGTCACCAGGACCCCCCGCAGCTTCCAGCAGGCAGCCTCACTGCCCTCGGCCCCACCCACAAGGACCTGTCCATCCTGCCTGGCCTCAAACTCAAGAACAGGTCACACCCAAGCCTTCTGGGAAGTCACCAGGGGTCCCCGATCTCTGGTTTCTTCACATCCAAGGCCAAGGTAATGGGTTTTAAAGGACCAGGTGAGTCCACATTGTCTCTGTAGGAGCCAGACATCGAGACAGAAGACAACCAGGTCCCCGTCACTGGCCTAGAAAAAGGCACTCGGCTCCCTAGCCAGCACCGTGGGAGTACCTGCAGGGGAGGGGGCGGTTGGAAATAGTACGGCAAGTACTGAGCCAGACAGAGGTGTGACCTGGGAACCCCGCTCAGTCACTCTGTATCTGCAAGCAAGCCCCTTCTCCCCTGGGGCCCCACTGGCTCTGTCACTCACAGATCAAAGGAACCCAGCCAGGTGAGGGCCATGACCCCCAGCTCTACGCTCTCTGGTTTGTCATTCCTGGGGACGCCTGCCTCCTAAGCCTCACCCAGACTACCTGGGAAGCAGAACCAAGGTGCCAACGAAGACCCTGGGCCAGAGATCGAGTGGGCTTCCTGAGAGCTGTGTCCCTCATACATGCTGGGTCCGTCTGCCCTCCCAGATGATTGATGGCTTCATCATTGTTGTGGGTATCTGAGGAGTGAACTGGTAGCTGGAGATGGGGTGTGTGTGTGTGTGTGTGTGTGTGTGTGTGTGTCTGCTCCTAAATGAATGATTTCTACTGACTTCCGTAATCTAACCCCCTGGTTACAGACATCCTGAGTAGAATATCTTCTCTCTTGTAGTCCATCCCAGGATGCTCCAGCTCCCCCCACACACCTTGGTAAGTTTCCCTAATAAATGCTTTAAATTCATCAGCCTTTGTTTATCAATCGCATCTGCCTTTGGAATCCAGCTGACCCCATCTGGTGAGGATTTGGGGCAGTCCCATGCAGGAACTCACCACCACTTCTAGGACAATTCCAGTCATCAGTTCAACCAGACAGAACACAAGGGGACTCTTCTGTATCTGTCTTGTGGTGATGGTTACGTGATTATACACATTTGTCAAAACTCAGAGACCTTGGGCCAGCGCTCTGGCAAAGTGGGTAAAGGCATTTCCTGTTGTCCGGCACCCAACATGGGCATCAGTTCGAGACCCAGCTGTTCCACCTCCAATCCAGCTCTCTGCTATGGCCTGGGAAAGCACTGGAAGATGGCCCAAGTCCTTGGGCCCCTGCACTCCAGTGGGAGACCTGGCTTCAGATAGGCCCAGCTCCGGGCATTTGAGGAGTGAACCAGTGGATAGACAATCTCTCTCTCTCTACTTATGCCTCTCTGTAACTCTGCCTTTCAAATAAACAAATAAATCTTTTTTAAAAGAAATTAAAGAATTGTGCACTAAAAAGTTGACTTACTATTTGTAAATTATCCCTCAATAGGTTTAACTTGAAGAAAAATAAATTTGAGTATCTGTTAACCAAAATGGAGGCCACAGTGTGGCTATAAACCAAACATCCACAGCCACATAACCTAACTGTTTACCCTGATTTCTCCCAAAACGCTAGCTCTGTCCATACACAAAACCAAAGCTCCCCTCACGTGACTGTGAACTTCCGCAGCTTGCAGCCAATCAGCTACAAGCAAACTCCCGGAGGCGGGCACTTCCTTAGGGGAGTGTAAGTCTCCAGTACCCAAACAAACCAGGCAACAATGGATGGGGAGTCCTCAAAAGGTTCATGCAAAGCCCATTTGTTTTGTTTTTTTTTTTTTTTTTTTTTTTGACAGGCAGAGTGGACAGTGAGAAAGACAGAGAGAAAGATCTTCCTTTGCCGTTGGTTCACCCTCCAATGGCTGCCGTGGCTGGCGCGCTGTGGCCGGTGCACCATGCTGATCCGAAGCCAGGAGCCAGGTGCTTCCTCCTGGTCTCCCATGCAGGTGCAGGGCCCAAGCACTTGGGCCACCCTCCACTGCCCTCCTGGGCCACAGCAGAGAGCTAGACTGGAAGAGGAACAACCGGGACAGAATCTGGCGCCCCGACAGGAACTAGAACCCGGTGTGCCAGCGCCGCAGGCGGAGGATTAGCCTAGTGAGCTGCGGCACCGGCCGCAAAGCACAAATCATGAAGAAACTATGCATGGACTCAAATCTTCTTCATCCTATTTTGCCCTTAACCTTTTGAAGACCCCTTGTACTTTCTCCTTCGTGCTTTGTAAACTGAGCTACGCCTGCTCCAAGGCCAGGCTTCTCACCATTTCAGGTTGAAGTCCCCTGGTTCCTGAGCTATTCCTTCCCATGTGCAGTAAACCTCTTAAATTTCTCTACCGTGAAATGACTTCATCTCTTTTACACCTGTATGTGTGTGTCTACACTGGCCGTGCAGCAGTCCACGGTAGCAGGTGTATCTGGTTCATTTCACCGAGTTCCTGCATGCTCCTCAAAGCCATGATGCTTCAGCAAGAGAGGCCAGCCCTGCACCTGTGCCTGGGAGGAAGGGAGTCTCACCCCTGCCCTGCAGAGAGTACAGCTGACCGCAGCGAGGTGAAGCCGCACGCTCGGGTCACGCAGTCCACACAGCAGCCAGGATTCCCAAGTGTTCTGGAGAGCTGGGAGTCCCACACTCCTCCCATCACACTCCACAGCCAGCCAGGGGTAAACAACTTGGAGGGAATGACTGTTACTGGCTCTGGCTTGCACCTCCAGAGGAACCGATGTATGGGATTGGGCACACAGCGGGATGCTCACTAGGGAGAGAGGGGTGTTTGGGGCTGAACCACCCCCCCACAATGGAATAAAGGCCAACAACCATCTCTCCACCCACTTTCTGATAAGAACGGGCGGCCGTTGAATCACCTAGCAGGGAAGAGTAGATTCATTCAGCAAATTATCGAGTGCCTGCTCTGCCAGGCAGAGAGGACCATCACATAACCGTGCCTCTGTTCAGACTCGTGGTCTCCACCCGTGTGCTTAGAAAGGGAACCCATCCTTACTTGGGGGAGCCAAATGGACCACGTAGCCGTTTCCCACGTAGATGGCCCAGTGCGAGTAGCCGAAGCGAAAAATCTCAATCAGATCTCCAACTTTTGGTGTCGGCGAGGACTACAATAGAAAAAGCAGAGATGGGTAAGGGTGAACTGTCGAAGAGAACATTCTAGAATCTGACCTGCAAGGAATCCTGGCCCGGATTGCAGCCTCCATGTGTTCATTGCCTGCAGGAAACCAGGGAGACCCCAGCACGCGCCAGGGCTGCTGGGCTAGAAAAGCACGCTCCAGGGTCGAGGAGATGAAAAGGATGGTGTGTGTGAGCGATCACATTAGCAGGTGTGCACACGAGCTGGGTGTGAAGGCGCCTGAGGTACCCAACTGTGGGGAGCAGGGTCCGTCTCCCGCAACATGGCGGGGCTCCCGGGAGCGGCAGCAAATCCGGGAAGGACAGGGGAAAGAAAACAGGGTCCGGTGCCCTTCCTCCGCGAGCGGAGGAGCGACACCCAACGTGTTTGTATCAGCCCACAACGCCCAAAATGCCTCAGTAACGACCGCTTGTCACATGCGTCGGCCTGCGTAAGTCCTGTGAGTTAGAGTCCCAGCTTGCAAAGTCCACAGCACCAAACATGGAGTGGAACGCTGGATCCGCATACCCCTCACTCTCCCGAGCAAGGATATGATTACCCACTTAACCGATGAGAAGACCGAGTCTCAGGGAGGTACAAACAAGGTTAAAACTTAAGTCTAAATGATTGTGGATGGGGTGAGCATTGTGGTGCAGTGGCTTAAGCCATCTCTTAGGACACCCACATCCCATATCAGGGTGTCCGGTTCAAGTCCCAGCTCCCTGCTTCCAATGCAGCTTTCCTCCTACTGTGCTCGGGAAGGCAGCGGTCGATGGCCCGAGTGCTTGGGCTCCCACCACCCATGTGGGAGACCTGGATGGAGTTCCTGACTCCTGCCTTCAGCCTGACCCAGCCCTGGCTGTTAGCATCTAGAAAATAAACCAACAGATAAAAGAGCTCTCGTTCTCTCTCTCTCTCTCTCTCTCTCTCTCTCCCTGCCTTCCAAATAAAAATAAGTAAGTCTTTAAAAACAAAGAAGAAATGCTTCCTATGTTTGTGCCCTTAGCAATCCCACACCATCCCAGGCAAGTCTGGGGCTGCGGAAGACTGGGCTCCAGGCCAGAATTGGGCCGAGGGACGGCAGGTGTATCCGCAGTTGCTAGTGGGGCAGTGTTCTGGAGTTTGCTTAAGCGAGAGGCACGCTGCACTTTCCCCATGGGGATCTATTTCTGGACCACCCTGAGGCCAGCAAAAACCACTCCTCCAGGCCACCAGCTCATGCCAGGCCGGAGCTCAGAGCACAGTGGGGCCACTGAGCCCACCCTACTCAGCCCTCTACCCCCACCCCCACCCCCACCCCACAGGAGGCCCAGGGAGCCACAGGGAGTGTGGCCAGAGGAGCACTTGCACAAATACAAACTCAGACCCAGGCAGATGGTCCCTTGGCCTTCGGGGACCCAAAGCCCACACAGCAGCTGAGATAAAGATACCTCAGGACTCACGTCCCCGGGGCCGGGGTTCTGTGCCCACTGGTCTGAGGGTGCTGGACCCAGAGGCCTCAGCTGTCTCCTTGCCACCTCTGTGCCAGAGCTGTCAACCGACCAGAAAACGCTCAGAATAGCCCCTACCAGGGTTGGGGCTGTCTGGGGACTTACCGAAGCCATCCTTCTTCAAGGCGCTCTGTGTGTGGCCGCCCAGAGTCCCAGCCTTTTATTGGTGGTAAAGTTTCATTTTCCCCTCTCAACCTGTCAAGATGTAAATGCTTCAAAACCAAGGTCAAGGTTCACATAAATATTTGATCATCAAACAAAGGCAAGGCGTGGGCATGGAAACAAGCGGGAAAGAGAAGAAACTGGAATTCAAGAGGGCGAGTCGAGGAATCGGTGCCAACATGATCGGGTACACAGTCAAAAATCACCAAGCTGGGGCTGGCAAAAGGGCGTAGCAGGTTAAGCTGACACCAGCCCGTCTCTGTCTCCTGTCCCAAGGCAGAGGAGGGTAAGGGAGGCAGAGATGGAGAAACGGAGGAACAGAGACAGCTGGAACTTGCTTTTCCCACCTGCCCCGGTTAACCCTTTGCTGCCTCCTGCCTCCTCGCTTCCATCAGCTCCACAGCTGATGGGGAAAGAGGAGACAATTTATCACAGGCACAATCCCACCCCATGACAAACAGAGCGAGCCTGGCCCCCGCCTCCCCCACCCTGGGGCCCAGAAGCACTCGCTCTAGAGCAGTCAGAGCCCAAAGCCACGAGTGCCTGGCTGTGCCGAGGCTGCTTTTGGACCAGCCACCGAAACACGGCTCCCCGGCCAGACCCCCAAAAAGCTCCCCTCTCCTGATGGCCACTCACAGCTAACATTCCCAGGGCAAACTGGACAGGACAGGGTGGTGGGTGAGCCCGGAGACGGGGTGCATGGGTGGGAAAACCAGGGCCCCACAACCTACCTTTTCAGGCTCTTGGAAAAAAACTTAATGTGAGGGGCAGACTGGCTGGAACTAGAACTGAAACTGAAACTGAAACCACGCAGGACCTAGGGCATCCCTGCTGGCCAGCTGCCCTCACAACCACGCTGCTCCCCCTCCACTCCATCCTCCTGGGGGCCCCAGAGGGACACACCCCAATGCAGTGCTCGCCTTCTTTCTGGAGGCAGGGAGTGGGCTTGACCCACCTGCCTCCCTCTGTCCCCAGGGGCCACAGCCCCCTGCCACTTGGTGATGGTCACCTCCAGCCAAGCGATCTCAGTTTGTCCGTGTCATCCCCTCGCCACGACGTCCCAGCCCTATCTCCCTGAGCAGGGGGACTCAGCTGGGTGCTGTCCCCTGCAGAGATGTCAGGTGGGACTGGCACAGTGACTAACCCAATTGTGCCAGGCAGAAACGGGAGGAAGTGTGGTGGTTCCGGTGCTGGGACCCCCACCCACCCAATCCAGTGTATTCAGAGTGGTAGGAAATGAAGCCCAGGAGCCTTGCAGTAGAGGAGTCTACAGGTCGAGGGCAGGGACTTCTGCTTGTCCCCCTCCTGTCCATGCAGCCCGCCTGGGTGGAGAGTGCGGCCAGGGCAGCCACACACCCAGACCGGAGGTGAACCCTAGGACCACAGCCTGGAATGTGTGTATGTTGGTCATGTATTGTTTTTAATTGAAGACAAGACTGTAAAAGGAAGATGGGGATCCCATGCTCCCCTCCGCTGGCCCCAAGCATCCAATTCCCTTCCCTACAGGCAATGCACTCAGTGCCTTGGTATTCCCAAGGAACTCCTCGGAGCACACCAGGAGTCTCCACCGTATCCATGGAAATGCCCGCTCTCTTTTAGTGCAATTTTCAAGAATTTTTGGAGTACTTTCATATCCTCTTTAGTGAGTTTTATTAAATCTTCTGTAGAAGAATATTTGTAACATACGTATAAGATATAAGAAACAATAGAACATGTATGTACCAACCACCTGGCTGATGAAATAGAAGTGACTCTCGGCCAGCGCCGTGGCTCAATAGGCTAATCCTCCGCCTGCGGCACCGGCACACCAGGTTCTAGTCCCGGTCGGGGCGCCGGATTCTGTCCCGGTTGCCCCTCTTCCAGTCCGGGACTGCAGTGGAGGATGGCCCAAGTCCTTGGGCCCTGCACCTGCATGGGAGACCAGGAGAAGCACTTGGCTCCTGGCTTCGGATCAGGGCGGTGCGCCGGTTGCAGCAGCCATTGGGGGGTGAACCAACCGAAAAAGGAAGACCTTTCTCTCTGTCTCTCTCACTGTCCACTCTGCCTGTCAAAAAAAAAAAAAAAAGTGACTCTTATCTTCTTTAAAATTTATTTATATCTTTACTTGAAAAGTCAAACAGAAACAGAGGGAGAGACAGAGAAATCTTCCATCTACTGGTTTACTACCCAAATGATCCCACAGCCAGGGCTGGACCAGGTTGAAGCCAAGGGCCAGAAACTCCATCCCAGTTTCCCACATGGGTAGTAGTAGCCCAAGTGCTTGGGCCATCCTCTGCTGCCTTCCCAGGCACACCAGCGGAAGCTGGATGGCAAGTGGAGCTGATATGGGATGCCGGCATCACAAGCAGCAGTTTAATCTGCTGTACCAGGCTCCAGACCTGAAAAAGATCAACATCTCACAAAAGCCCTGTGTCACACAATGTTAACAGCAGCTGTGGTGATTCATGTGTCAATTCCACTGGGCCACGTAATCCCAGAGTAAATACTTCTGGGTGTGCCCGAAAGAAAGAACGAAGTTTTCCCCTGAGCTCTGCACTTGACTCAGTGGATCGACATTAACACAGACGGCACCGCCCAATGCGCTGAGGACCCGACCAGAGCAGAAGCCGAGGAAGGAGGCCTTGACCCCGTTTCCGCCTTGCTGCTTGAGCTGGAACTCTCACTTCTCTTTCTCTGGTTCTCAGGTGCTGAACTCAGACCTGCTGGGTCTCTGGCTTGCAGCGGGTAGATGGGGGGACTTCGAGGAATAAAGACAGAGATAGAAATGATAGAACTAGTTAAGTACATCTATACCTAGATGACAAGACAGATGCATAAATCAGATGATTGGACATAGACATACATACCTAGGTAAGATAGATACATGGATCAGATGATTAGACAGATATAATAGATGATCAGTACACAGATGATTGATAGATATCTGTCTTCAGAATGTTTATGGAAAATGTGTATTATGATAAACCCATACATGGATTTCAAGAATTTTGCACCAAAATGATTCATCTCTTTTTATTTGAAAGGCAGAGAAACAGAGACAAAGAAATGGAGATCTCCCATCAGCTGATTCACTCCCAAATTGCCCTCAACAGCCAGGGCTGCGCCAGGCCAAATCCAGGAGCCTGGAATTCAATCAGGTTTCCCCATGGGGGTGGCAAGGACCCCAAGTATCTGGGTCATCACCCACTGCCTCTCAGGTTGCAAATTATCAGGATGAGGCCTCTGTGTGTGGGACCCACAGCTGTCGGGCCGGAAGAACGATGACATCTCTCGACAAGAAACACCAGAGACAGGCCCGATGCACGTGTCCATTTATGAGCAATCAGGCACAGAGCTTTATGGGGGGGGGGGAGGAAAAACCTGGGGTAGTAACAGCAATTCTATAGGGCAGAAGGGGCAGCGTGCCAAAGGACCCCTGACCTTATAGGTCACGTAGGCCACGCAGGTCCCCTGGGCTCCTTTGTGCAACCGGCCCACATGTGGAATGCGGGAGCTGCTTATCGGCTCTCTGTTTATCAATTGTAAAGGCACAGCCACAAGGCTTCCAACAGGAAGGCGGGTGGGAGAAACGGGCCTGGAGCTCCTGCCGCCTGCCAGCAGCCAGGCTGTGGGGTCCCGCCCAACCTCCCACATGGGCACGGCAGGCAGTCCCAAAGGATCACCCACATCAGGAAGAGGGAATCAGAAGCAGAACTAGGCCTTGAACTCAAGCTCCAATATTGGATACAGGTGTCCCAAGTAGTGGCTTAATCATTGTGTCAAACATCCGTCCCCTACTTATCTTATAATTTCATTTTTCCAGGAACTTTTCAAAGTTCCTTCATGTGTGTGAATCTGTGTGTATATATATGTATGTAACTCAGGGTGTATAAAAAGAACAAAATTCTGGGGCCTGTGCTGTGGCGCAGCGGGTTAATGCCCTGGCCTGAAGCGCTGGCATCCCATATGGGTGCCGGTTTGAGATCCGGCTGCTCCACTTCCAATCAAGCTCTTGCTATGGCCTGGGAAAGCAGTGGAGGATGGCCCAAGTGTTTGGGCCCCTACACACGCGTGGGAGACCCAGAAGAGGATACTGGCTCCTGGCTTCGGATTGGCTCAGCTCCTGCCATTGCGGCCAATTGGGGATTGAACCAGTGGACGGAAGACTTTTCTCTCTGTCTCCCTTTCTCTCTGTATCCCACTCTCACTGTCTGTAACTCTGCCTCTCAAATAAGTAAATATAAATAAAAATAAAAGGGGGGAGGGGGCTGGCGCTGTGGCATAGCGGGTAAAGCCGCCTGTAGTGCTGGCATCCCATATGGGCACCGGTTCAGTCCCGGCTGCTCCACTTCTGATCCAGCTCTCTGCTATGGCCTGGGAAAGCAGTAGAAGATGGTCCAATTCCTTGGGCCCCTGCACCCACGTGGGAGACCCGTAGGAGGCTCCTGGCTTCAGATCAGCACAGCTCCGGCTGTTGCAGCCATCTGGGGAGTGAACCATCAGATGGAAGATATCTCTCTCTCTCCTCTCTCTCTCTCTCTCTCTCCGCCTCTCCTTAATCTGTGTAACTCTGACTTTCAAGTAAATAAATAAATATTTTAAAAAAAAAGAAAAAAGAAAAAAATTAGGGAGGGGACTGAGCAGCCCCTTGGCTGACATCCTAAGGGCTGCCTCTGTGGTCTGTTCAACGGAGACCAGGAGGAAGAGGAGCGAGCTAGGCAGCGGGATAGGTGGCAGGCCAACAGCTGCTTTAGGCAATGAACTGCCAACAAGGAGACCCAGCAAGATCAGTCTACGTCCAGATGGCACCTGCTTCTGATGTGGAAAGCCAGGGCTCTGGGCAAAAAAAAAAAAAAAAAAGCTGGCTTCCCAACAGCCCTGACAGCTCTGCCAAAAGCCAGGACACTGGAAATGGAACTGCCTGGGGTCAAAGGACTTCCCAGGTCAAACCACAGTCCCTGTTGGCCTAAGAAAGCCCTTCCCGCCACCTGGTTTCCATAGTAACCACTGCTAGGCGGGGCACCTGAGGTCAGTGACACTGCAGACAGGACCTGTAAAGTTCCTTTTAGAGACACTGTCTATTCTGTACTGATCTCCTGTTTGAGCCAGCCCTCCCCCCACCCCAGCCAGATAGCGGGAATCAGTGGGCATGCCTTCCCTAAGGAGGTTCACACTTCCCTTGTAATGACTCTTCCAGGACCCCACGTGAAGAGATACCTAGGTCTGGGCTTCACACATACTTGGCCAGGCCTTAGAGCCCACCTGATTGTTGTTAAGCCTAAAGTCCCCTCCTGTCAGTTCTTATTTGCCTTTAAGGGGGTTAACAGGGCACAAAGTAACAGCTAACTTGGACTGTTCTGCATAGGGTTTCAGAGTCAGCCTGCACCAATCTGGACAGGCCCTCCCTGAGGACTTAAAGGACCTATCTCTTGGAGGGGGTGCAAAAGTAATCCGGTATATAGGTGAGGTACTAGTCTGCTTCCCCCAGGACTCTGGTCCTGTGCATTAACTAACACCCTTACCTCCTTAGCAGAAAGTAGCTACCAGGCATCTTCTCCCACTGGGGAGAGAAGAGCAGCCCCAGAGAGGGCACAGGCCACGGAGCAGCTTCCTATCCTCACAATGCTACTGCAGCCCCCCCCCCCCCCGCCATTTCTCTCACAGGTTAGGGGTCCCTAGGGGAAATAGCAAGGCTGCTAAATAAGGCCTTCAAGAAGGAGCCAAAATGGGGCCCCCTCCTTTGGGGAAAAAACAAAATGCAGTTTCTGCCCAGTTAAAGACTGCCTAGATCTCCCATGGGGTGCAGGGCCCAAGTACTTGAGCCATCCTCCACT